GAGGCTGGGTCTTCCAACATGACAATGATCCAAAACACACCGCCCGGGCAACAAAGGAGTGGCTCCGTAAGAAGCATTTGAAAGTCCTGGAGTGGCCTAGCCAGTCTCCAGACCTCAACCCCATAGAAAATCTGTGGCGGGAGTTGAAAGTCCGTGTTGCTCGGCGACAGCCCCAAAACATCACTGCTCTCGAGAAGATCTGCATGGAGGAATGGGCCAAAATACCAGCTACTGTGTGTGCAAACCTGGTAAAGACCTATAGTAAACGTTTGACCTCTGTTATTGCCAACAAAGGTTATGTTACAAAGTATTGAGTTGTATTTTTGTTATTGACCAAATACTTATTTTCCACCCTGATTTACGAATAAATTCTTTACAAATCCTACCATGTGGATTCATGGATTTTTTTTTCACATTCTGTCTCTCACAGTTGAAGTGTACCTCTGGTGCAAATTACTGACCTCTGTCATCATTTTAGGTGGGGGAACTTGCACAATCGGTGGCTGACTAAATACTTTTTTGCCCCACTGTATATTATATTTTTTCATGCTGTAGTGCCGTTTTTGGGAGCATTTCAAGGTGATATACATCAATACAACCATTATAGCCCAGATTTTAATAATATGTATGCATTAAGTGCATAGTAATTACATAAATTGCAAAAAAAGTACCTGATGGGTGAGTAGAGGGTCTCTGGGTCGTTAACCCTGACCCTAAGCCTCGGATAAGCTGGAGGAGATAGCAGGGGAGGTCTGGGATTCTATGCTTAAATGGTCTGGTTCATATAGAGCTTGAGGGTCCTGCACAGTATCTTAGCTGTTCCTAGTTCTGCGCTGTTCTGGACAGAGATCTCTGATGTTGTTCCTGGGATCTGCTGGAGCCACTCGCCTAGCTTGGGAGTCTTTGCACGTAGTGCTCCGATTACCACTGGGACCACTTTTACCTTCCCCACTGAGAATTGCTGTTATGGTCTTCCAGTATTGCACCATCTCCAGCCTTGGCGGTGCCGTTCTCACATTGTTCCCCTGCCACTGAGAGTACATTTTTGCCGGTTCTGTGGAGAACAGCTAGTTTATTCTCCTGCCTTTTATCGCTCTGGTGTACCTCTTCAAGCAGCTGGCCAAGGCTGTGAGTCTTTGCTTGGCAGTTCTCAAGGCCTCAGGTATGGACAGTTTGCTGTAGTTCTTAGGCACCTTCTGTGTTGCACCTTTCTGCAGCTCTGATCCCTGACCTTGATCTGATCACTGCTGCCGTGGTGTAGATCAGCTTGTTAATCTCGGTAATGGTGGCGGCGTCCAAAGTGCTGCATTCACATCATCTAGTAGATCTTCTGAGGGTACTTCATGTAGTCATGGTAACTGGAAGATAAGGAGGCTGCGGAGGATCCAGGTTTCAAGCTTTGCCATGATTCTGTCTTTCAGGTCAGTTCCTCCCGCATTCAATGATCCTTCTTCTATTGCACTTGGGGTTAGGTACCCAATCTCGGGTGGGGGTGACTAGACAACACTAGAGGCCAACTTCAAGCCAATAGCACAAGTGACCATCAAGTGCGGGATCTACCAAAGAGATGCTCTGTCCCCACCAATGTTCCGTCTAAGCTGCGCACGTGCGCAATTGCGCCCTGATGGCACGGTCTCTGCGCAGAGAAAATCTGTGTTGCGCACACAAAAAAATTCTAACCTGAATTGAAATGAAAGTAAATATGTGCCGACACCGGTGCTGATGTGGAGTGAAGCCACGTTAATGACAACGTGTACAATGTTGTTTATATTTACTGCGGGAAGAAATGGTAAAAACGGCATTTTATAAGAAAAACGCTCGAAAGCCTGTGAGCAAAAACAGCCCCCCTCCCTCAGCCTTTCCTATTGGTGGAAAAATGTACCATGTCGACCAATCAAAACATGATATGGCAACATGGCATTTAGTTGTTAAGAAACGGGGGAAGTTTTAGGAGTGACGGCGTTATTTTTCCTTCCAATGGTGTTAACATACTGCACAGGTCATGAACAAGATTGTTTTTAATTTTCATTGTAAGTGGGCTAAAGCAGTTAATTAAAAGTAGTCTAACATAAATGTAAATGCTGTAATTTGATTATTTTAATAAACATGTAACTTGGATGCTGGCGTGACCACAGTGCACACGTCTGCTGTCGCTCACAGTGGTCCACGGGACGCTCAGGGATTTAGTGTGTTCGCTCAGACACATGAAACATTAGAGGGAACATTGGTCGCCACTGCTGTTCTGCACTGGCCTGAATCCTCTCAGTGAGATCATTGACAAGACTGGCTACGGAAACCGACTGAGGAATGGAGCAGTTGTCAGCCACCTCAAGCTGTATGCCAAGAGTGAACAAGACATCGATTCACTGATCCACACCACCAGGCTATACAGCAATGACATCAAAATGTTGTTTGGACTGGAGAAGTGTAGTCGGATGGTAACAAAGAGAGGGAAGGTAGTCAGAACTGAGGGGATTGAACTACCAGAAGGCAACATTGCAGACATAGAGGACAGTTACAAGTACCTGGGGATCCCGCAGGCGAATGGGAACCATGAAGAGGCCGCTAGAAAAGCTGCAACCACCAAGTACCTGCAGAGGGTCAGGCAAGTCCTGAGGAGTCAGCTGAATGGTAAGAACAAGATCCGGGCCATCAACACGTACGCCCTGCCCGTGATCAGGTACCCTGCTGGGGTAATAGGCTGGCCAAAGGAGGAGATAGAAGCCACTGACATAAAGACAAGAAAGCTCCTTACCATGCATGGAGGGTTTCACCCCAAGTCCAGCACCCTGAGGCTGTACGCTAAGCGGAAGGAAGGGGGCCGGGGACTGGTGAGTGTCAGCACCACAGTCCAGGATGAGACAAGGAACATCCAAGAATACATTGGGAAGATGGCCCCAACTGACCGAGTCAAAATGGGAGACGCCCCCAAGGGTGGTGGAGAATGACCGAGCTAAGATCCTGTGGGACTTCCAGATACAGACGGACAAAATGGTGGTGGCTAACCAACCGGACATAGTGGTGGTAGACAAACAGAAGAAGACGGCCGTAGTGATCGATGTAGCGGTTCCGAATGACAGCAATATCAGGAAGAAGGAACACGAGAAGCTGGAGAAATACCAAGGGCTCAGAGAAGAGCTCGAATGATCTTTAAAAGCTGATTATGAGAACATATTGTAATAAAAGCAAAAGCTGACATCAGAATGTTGTAGTAAAAAAATTATAAAACAAAGTTATGTTATACCCATTGCCCTCCCTTAACCAGTACATTTTTGAATAGTTTAACGAGCCCTGTTTCAGATGAAATGATAAAATCATGGGATTTTATACAATGTTACCACCTTGAAAAGGCACAGAATAGTAGGAATGACTCAGCACTACTTCAACTTAGCACAAACCTATAAAAAAACTATGCAATACTTTTCCTGACAAGCAAGCATCCAAGATGTCTGAATGAAAAGAAACCTACGGGGAAGTTCTTCCACCTTAGGAGAAATTGCTCAAACTTCTGGAAGAGGAATTTAAAACCAGGTTAAGGATATTCAAGGTTTAAAAAGGAAAGTGGCACTCTTACACAACTGACAAAACTTACAACTACACTTTAATATAATCAAGATCTGAAGTACTGAAAACTGAAACTCAATTCAAAAAACAAAAAGAATAACCTTCATCACTGAATTTAACCATAATGATCAGCAACTTAAGGATATAGTTAAAAGACAATGGCAGATTCTAATGGCTGAATCATCTGAAGCAAAACTACAGATGTGACAAATGCATGCACATAACAAAATTGTATATTTACTACTATTACTATAAGTTTTTTTACTTTTCCACACAGTGGTAAGAAGTCTCCTGTTAAACAGTTCAGAAACTGCAGCACAACATCACAGTCGACAAGCTCAAATGCCCCGGTGCTCAAGGTTATACTGGACAAATAAAGAGAGCACCTAAACAACCTCTTTGAGAAGACAAAAAAGTGTATGTGACAGCCAAACACTATCATGAAGCTAACTATGGTTCTTTTGCCACTCTGAATTTTATCGTTTTTTAACTCAATGCAACTCAGTTCATCTAATTTGATCTCTCATGGAGAGATGCTTTGGATTTCAGTGCTCCATACAGTGACTCCTGCTGGCCTGAGTGATGTTTTTCTTGTAAAATGCATTTTTGTGAACAAGCTTATATGAGACATACAAAAATACAAAATGTTTATGATAAAACTTGAGAGAACACTTCAATTGTAAACACACTAATCTGTTTTAAGATTAATAAGAGAATTACCAGCAGACTATTTGGTTTCATACTGATATGTTAGCGTGTTTGCTGGCACGGTCAGATACACTAGTGTGTTTGACAGTTTTGTTCTGTACCCTAGCAGCACTGGAGTTCCATTATTTTGGTTTAGCACCACGGATGAATGTATTGGGAAAGAACATCCTCTTCAGAGACTGAATGAGTTTTTGTTGCAACCGACTCTTTCATCTATTCACCACTTGTGAACACGACTACAAGACTAGGAGTTTGCTCTACTCAGCTTTTCTCAGCAGCTTGGAAATTGTTCTTTGTGTCTCACATCCACACAGATACTGTTCAGCAATTTCACAGAGCTTGTTGTGGAAATGTCTTCCCAAATAATTTTGCTTAATATCTTGCTGCACATCAAGCACACACGCAAGCCGGTAAACAAAGAAACATGTCCACACAATGTTAAATCCTTCATTTTGTGCATGATTTTTCTTTGTAATTGGAATGCATAGCTAGGAAGACTTAATACTAAGCATACATCAGTGCCACTCACCACCACTAAGGTTCAGCTAAATTAATATTTAGTGTATAGGCTACATATTTCTAAGAATATAAAGCTGACTTGCAACATGTGTATTAATATGCAGTCAACACATTGAATGTTCTCCATTTGAATTTTTTTCTTGCACATTTGTCACTCACTGGTCACAAAAAAGTGATATTGTATGAATGTGACATTAGATATTACTCACGGTCATTGCATTGTGTGCCGGTGTATGAAGTCATGGAGCAGTCGCAGGTGTAGTTCTCCCACTGTTGAATGCAAATGCCCATGTTGGCACAGGAATCCTCTTGGCAGGTAGTGCTGGGTCCTGGGGATCAAGACAAAAGAAGCAAACACAAAACTGGCAAAACTGGCTTCAGTTCAGTGTTGCAGCTCAAAATATGTATATGATTCTCCTATACTAAAGAATGAGAGGAACGGTTTATGATCAGGGTACAGAAACAGTGGTACTGAAGAGGACTCACCTCTGTGCTTGTGCTGCCTCAATGCAGCATTCATTACCACTGACCACAATACTTTAGTACAGAGATTTGAAGCAAATCTATTGAATAGTTTACATTTTGTACATGTAAATGGGAAGTCTTCACACACTCAGGGTAATTACGGAGCTACTCAGTGTTTTGGTCCTGGGTAATTTAAGAAATACTTACATTAAAGCTATGTATCAGTTAGTTTTGAGTTTACCAGTCCATAGTTTTTTCATTTATATTTTAAGTTCTTGATTCTCTTTCGTGCCCAGTCTGTCCCATTCTTGTCTTTGTCTCATCACCGGTGTCTCCTGTGGAAGTGATTTGTGTCCCCATGTCTCTCTGGTCTCTCCCTGTTCTCTCTCCATACTTATCTAGTTCATAAGCCTTCCTAAAAATCCCTACAAATCTTAGAAATGTGGTTTTTAAACAGATACATACTTGGCATTAGGTTTCACTCTATTATTGCTGGGTCTTTATCTTAAAATATACAGTGATCAGGCATACCATTATGATCACCTGCCTAATATTGTCTAGGTCCCAGTGCATGGTCTGCAACAATGCTTAGCAGGACCCAAGGTCTCCCCAAACATTGCCCAGAGTATCACACTGCCACTGCTGGCTTGTCTTCTTCTGCTGTCAGGTGTTCCCCAGGTAAGCAACACACGCACCCGGCCATCCATGCAATGTAAAAGGAAACATGATTAATCACACCAGGCTACCTTCTTCCATTAGTTAGGGGTACAGTTCTGATGCTCGTGTGAACATTGTTAGTGGACAGGGGTCAGCATGGGCATGGGTCTGCAACTATGCAGCCCCAAACACAGCAAACTGCAATGGACTGTGTATTCTGACACCTTTCTATAATAATCAGTGTCATTTTTCAGCAATTTGAGCTACAGTAGTTGATCGGTTGGACTGGAAAACATAGGCCACCCTTCATTTTTCATGCACATTAGAAATATCCTGTCTCAGAGTTACGCTGAAAAACTAGTTCATGCATTTATTACTTCTTGGCTGGACTACTGTAATTTTTCCTGTATTGGCTTCCATTCATTGGCCCCAGATCTAAATGCTGCTCCTCACATACAAGGTCTTAAATAATCAGGCCCCATCTTATCTTAATGACCTTGTAGTACCATATCACCCTATTAGAGCACTTCGCTCTCGCTCTGCAGGCCTACTTGTTGTTCCTAGAGTATTTAAAAGTAGAATGGGAGGCAGAGCCTTCAGTTTTCAGGCCCCTCTTCTGTGGAACCAGCTTCCAGTTTGGATTCAGGAGACAGACACTATCTCTACTTTCAAGATTAGGCTTCAAACTTTCCTTTTTGCTAAAGCATATAGTTAGGGCTGGACCAGGTGACCCTGAATCCTCCCTTAGTTATGCTGCAATAGACGTAGGCTGCCGGGGATTCCCATGATGCATTGAGTTTTTCCTTTCCAGTCACCTTTCTCACTCACTATGTGTTAACAGACCTCTCTGCATTGAATCATATCTGTTATTAACCTCTGTCTCTCTTCCACAGCATGTCTTTATCCTGTCTTCCTTCTCTCACCCCAACTGGTCTCAGCAGATGGCCCCGCCCCTCCCTGAGCCTGGTTCTGCCGGAGGTTTCTTCCTGTTAAAAGGGAGTTTTTCCTTCCCACTGTCGCCAAAGTGCTGCTGATAGGGGGTCATCTGATTGTTGGGGTTTTCTCTGTATGTATTACTGTAGGGTCTACCTTACAATGTAAAGCGCCTTGAGGCGACTGTTGTTGTGATTTGGTGCTGTATAACTAAAATTGAATGGAAATTGAATGCGCATCACTGAAGTCTTGGCTGCCCATGAACAACCTGTCTGTCACTGCTGTTCCTTCCTTGGAAAAACTTTTGATAGATACCACTGCAGAGTGAGAACAAACTACAAGAGCTGCAGTTTAGGAGATGCTCTGACCATATCATCTAACCATCACAATCTGGTCCTTGCACTTGCTCCTTAAAATATTATCTATATATCTCTCACTCAATAATAGGTGCCAGAATAACGTGATCATCAGTGTTATTCACGTTACCTGTCAGTCATCATAATGTAATGTCTTATGGCTGTTAAAGTCCATGTGGTGACTGTTGTTGTATTTGGCATTATATAAATAAAATTGAATAAAACTCAATACTGAATTTTGATTGGACTGAATTGGTAAAAGATCATTCAACTGCTACAGTTATCCCTAAAAATCTTTTTCTCATTGGAATGTGGCAAAATGTAGTTATTCTTTAAATAAACTACACTATTTTATATTTGAAATGAAGCATAGTACATTTCAGTTATTTCTGTTCAGACTTTCTGTTTGGCTGTTCTCTATGCATCAGTTTTAACGGCTGAGCTCGTTCATGTTTACAGGAGAGCTGAAGCCCATTCCAGCTGTCATGGTAGAAGCGTGTGGACAGGCCATTAGTCTACTGGACTAACGTGGAGAGACAAACAATCATTCATGCTCACATTCACACTGACAGCCGATTTAGAATCATTAATTAAACAGGCATGCATGTCTTTGGACTGAGAGGAAGGTGGAGCAGGTGGAGAGGCCCAGCCAGACCTTTGTGCTGTCAGAACGCGACTGTGCCACTATAACAATGTGTCATCGATAACTCTGTGAATGTTAGGATGATAATGACAAATAAAGAGCAACGAGACGTTTTGTTAAACTGCTTTGTGTGTTGTTGTTTGTATACTTTAGCTACTCACACACATTCATTTGTTTGGGAAATTATTGTTTATTTTTTATAACTTGAATGGTTGGTTTGCAATGATACTGAACAAAAACTTATTGTTATTCGACCTCAAATCATGTGATGGTCCGGAGACTTACCTCGTTAAAGATGCTCAGTTAGAGGAGGTATTCGGGACAAAGTCATGTTAACCGTCGAGGGGGGATTGTTTTAAACGTTAGCTTATAAGAAAATCCTAAAGCTCAGTTTTGATGCTTATTTGCTGTTTGTTAGCAGTGCCGCATCGCCCTCTAGTGACGGCAAAATGTATTGCTGCAGTCTGAACTCCCTAATTATAGATGGGCTTCGATATAGGCAACAAACTTACAAACAAACAAACAAGAAAAACTTTTAATGTGATGAAAGCTTGTAATGAAATTACAAACAATGAAATTTCAAACAGTTTAAAAGACTGTTGAGCTGATCGTGGTGTGTATTGCAAAAGAAAAAGAAAACCATACAAAAATCATACAAACACACAAAAATGCCATGGACAAGACCAACAAACTGCGATTGATGAAATTTTATTTGGAAAAATAAATTAATCAACCGATACTTTCTTGCGCTGCATACAGTACAATGAAATAACATTGTTTTCATTCTGATTCAGATTGTTATACCAAGGACATATACCGTTTCTTTTCTACTAAAATGAAATGTCAGCTAGCACATTTATTGGTTTAACATGGGGCTCTTTAAATAAATGTTCCATGAAAAACAAAAAGTACAATACATACATTTCCAACTCAATGATATGGCAGGCATAAGAAAAACTGCTGTATAGAAAATGATGTCCATGCAAACAGATTGTGGAAGATGGCCCATAAAACAGCAACAAATAAATAAGTGAATAATAAAAATGCACAACTTTTACAGGAAGATGGAAACATTTTGTCCACAATGACATTTGTTTTCTTGTGCAAAATGTTTCAACGGCGCATTTTGGTGTAGCTACACAGAACATGTTAAAACCTTTGGCAAGTTTGTCTTTGTGAACAAAGGTCTGTGTGAACTGAATACCAAATATAGCCTGATGCAGAAATAATGGCAAGATGTAAAACTGCACATCCTACAAATAAAGATATAAACTATTTTTTGAAGTAGTTACATTGTTATTTGCTTTGTACTTCTGCAGCTGACCATTTGTAAACCCCGGCTACCTCAAACAGCAGTAGTCTAACAAAATAAATGTAATAAAAACAGTCATTCCCATCGAAAGTGCCAAATATTATTCAAAAGAGTCACATAAATGTTGAGCTTTGATTTTTTATAATAGATATATAACAGCTTGATCTCTTGGTAAAGTGTGAGAGTCATGAAAAAATAACTTAATGAGAATGTTTTAACCAAAATCAGGACATTGTTACTACGTAACCACAGCCAAGATATTTTCAGTCCAGTTGCCACAGGTGTATTTAATCAAGCACCAACCATCAGATCTGTATTTACAAACGGCCGTGAAAGATTGGGTCATTCTGACAGCTCACCGAGTTCAAGCATGGAAATGCAATCGGATACGAGCATTTGAAGTCAGTTTGTGAAATTTCTTCCCTCCTGGATATTCCATAATAAACTGTGGTGTTGTGATGGTATTATTCCAAAGTGGAATCATTTAGGAATCCTAACAAGTCAGCCACAGAGTGGCAGATCATGTAAAGGTGCCATGCATTGCTGCGACGTAAGTGTGTAAGAGTCTCTGCTGACTGACTAACAGTTTCAGCCTTGCCCATCAACATCGGCACAAAAACAAAGGCGCTTCATGGCATAGGTTTCCATGACCAAGTACCTCCTGTACTTGTAATGTGTAGTCGCCCCTGTACTTTTCTTCATATGGTCTATTTACATGTTCATGGCAGAACATACACACTGCAGACTTAAAATATGTTTTCTTGTTGCTTAAGTTTCAAAGGCATGTCGACTGTCATATAAAAAAATCTACTTGGGTCCATGTCCAATGTTTCGCCTAATGCTATTCCAAATATAACATTTCCTTGTAACATAGTCATTTCAGTGCAGTAATGGGATACATTACTTTCTGTTGTCCTATCTTGTTTGGTGGCCCCAGTGAGGATAAAGATTTTTGCAGATGTAACAATAACCAGTGCAAACACAAAAGTAATGATAGTTATGGTTACTGTAATGAATTATCTATAGAGAGTACAAAAAATGAAATGCATTACTTTAAAAAAGTAATAGAAATGATGATAGTTAATGACCTCAACAATGATGTACACAAAGAAATAGTTGTCATTTTGTCACCATTTATGACAGTGCTCTGAGACCAGAGAGAACTTTATTTACTGTGTAGCATTGTCTCATCTGAATCCATTACTCGGTGGGCTTTAAAGGTTGAAATGGATGTAAACAATGATCCACTCAGGACTGACACATCATTGGCATCGTGACACAGGACGGTGTTCAGCATATGTAGTCAGAAGCATTGTAGCCAACTCTCAGAGTTAGTGTAAGTGAAGAATAATGTGAGTATGTTGAAGGAAATGTAAATGTAGTGACTCTCTCTGTCTTTTGTCCTTTTACTGACATACCTGAGCCAGCACCCATCAGAATCTGTTTTTGTTTTGAATCAGTTATAAAACTTAATATTCATATCATTCAGAAAAAGAACTTTACAAAAGCATCATAGATTAAAAAAAATAAGAGAGGTAATCTTTGCATTAGCAAAGGCTGCATAAATAGTGATGATGAAGGCTCTGTAAGGAGGCAACCGATGTGGCCGATAACTTGGTTTAGTACAAGGAGCTGATTTGATCAGAATTCTAACAGTGAATAAGTGAGGCAACAAATACAGTTAATAAGACGAAGCGCCTTCCATACGGTCTCATGGATGCAGAGCTACTGTTTGCATTGAGCAGGAAGAAAGGGCTGCTGGAGTTGGAGTTGAAGTTTGTGTTGTAGTAGTCTAAATCAGGCTGAGATTTGAGGGACGGTGTACCTTCACATCCACGTTCAATCTGCCCGCTGCGAAACAATGCATCGTTGAGGAGATCCGGAAGACGACCATTGAGGTCCACTGACGCCAAACAGCCCTGGAAGCCGTCTCTGGAAGCCACCAGTTTAGGCAGGTTGCCATACATGCCTGGACCCAGTCCAGCAATGAACAGATCACCTGGGGCACAGAAAAAATGTAAAAGTGCAGGAGAACATTATCTTTAAAAATATTATGGATATTTATAGAAAGATTTGTGTTGAAATCTTTTCAGATCTAAACGGCATCAGGACAAACAAAACAGAACTTTTAATTAATTACGAAACCGAACTAAAGAGAGCGCACATATCACACAGGCTTTTCCTCTTGACAGCTGTACACGTACGTGGATTTTTATTGTTGTTGTTGTTGTCTGAATACAACGCTGGCTGATTTGCAAATGTATGCTAATTATTCACATTCTTGTTGCTTGAGCCCACAAACTATTTTACTGTTGCATTACTGGGAACACCAGAAAGATCCGTCTGCACTGTCTTGTTAAGTCTGATGCAGTTATTGGGGGTGGTTTTAAAAAACAAATTTCCTCTATCCAAATCGATTTTAGTTTAAATAAAGTGAGATCGATTCACTAAATCCTGAATCAATATTTCAATATAATAATATAACAATATATAAAAGTATTTTGTCAGAATCTCAGGTTAAAGCTCACAAAACTATTTCAACAACCACCAAACAGCTAAACAGTAAATGAGAGCAGGTAAACGGATTCCACACAAAGATGTAAAACACAAAGCGTGGATCGTTCACCCGCCGCCACGTACACCGACATCTCACAGATTCTGAAGCTGCAGGTTTCGTCACTCTCTGACCAAAACTCGCTGAACCATCAGCAAAACAAAATGATCAAAACTACGCTTCATGCATTTCCTCGTACTTTTGCTGTTTTGCTTCCACCACGATAAAATTGCACTTCAACTTTCTTTCAGTGTACTCACAGACCAGTTTACCATCAAACGACTCTGTTGTCTCCATCATTCGCTTGCTTATTACGCACCAGTCTGCTAGTGTGTACAGTGCTGCCGGCCGCTGTTTTTTTTTCCCCTCAAAAATAGCCTGAGGTAATGTTCACATGTTGTATCATAGTTTTCTTTAGTTTTTGTTCTACTGCAGAATATTTTTAAGGTTATAGGCCAGAAAAATCTGCTTGTTTTTCTGTTTTATCCTCAGTTACTTTGACACAAAGGCCTCTGCTGTGATGCTCACACCTCTGATGAAGTCTCAGCTTTGTTTTTATACATAGATATAAAAATATGGATATGTACTGATAAATGATCAGAATTCTAATATTTCTGACTGTCTGAGTCAAAACTGAATCGAATCGAATCGGGACGTCGAGTCAGTTATAGAAATCAAAATCGATACCCAGCCGTGGTAGTTGTTCTCTTCAAAAACCAACACCTTCATTTCACAAATGCAAACAAGCATCAAGGCACGACTGGGGAATAGTCCTGAAGTATTTCAGTGTCAGTATATTGACCCACACTTCCTGCTGACAACGTCACGCCTAGCATCCATGAAAAGATTTAAAGTTGAGTTAGAAGTAAGTAGTAAGCTGACCAGTTGGCATCAAAGGATGTACGCCATGAGCCCATCCTCCACACAATTAGTCATTAATATTTGGCAGTCCTAAACTTTAACTTCAAATTTCACTAAGTCAACAGTGATCATCGTCATCGTTCTGAATTGTGAAATTATTGGATTTATATCCCCAAGGTTACAGCATGCTCCACAAAGTGTCAAAAACTGGGCTTGAAGGCGCGCTGCACACACAGCTAAGAGGATTGTGCATCTATAGTCCTGAAATTGAAGCAGCTTGAGTAGATCGTAATAAAGTTTATTCATAATAATGATAATAACAATATATTTATTTATAGGCATCTTTTAAAACCCTCAAAGGGCTTGAGGTATGGTTTGTGTGTCTCCTGCCAAAATGAAACCAGGAAGCTTTTGCATGTCAGGTAAAATGTCTTAACCACTATACCACAGAGCGTAACTTAAACACTCGTTTCTTATCAGTGCAGCAAACAACCACTATATCTAAATGAAAAACTGAGTCATATCTTGAGTGTACCTTTAAGGTCCAGATTCTTGGCACCATTGATACTCTGACTAGTGGCTGTAGCATCTACTTTCAGCGTGTGGGTGTTGCTGTTGTCTCGGGTAATAGCCACATTGTGCCACTGATTGTCATTTAGTGCCCTTTCACTTTTTCCCTTGATGAGGTTGGGCCCATTTCCAAGGTCAAAAACATAGTGTATGTACCTACAAGAGAAAAATCACTAGTTATATGGGTTTAACAACAAAAACAAGTGTGAAATAGCAATCTGCTATAAACATCTGCTATTTGCAAATTAGTAAAAATATAACAGAAAGATGAATTTTATCCTATAATGAAGGTTCGGCCATGATCAGGATATCAGACTTTTGACAAAATGTGTTTGTTCGTTATTCTTATTGGAACACAATAAAATCAACCAGCCATTAAGAAAAGTTTAACAGGTATCCTCTAAAGGAAAGTTTACCCTTTAACTAGTTCCACAGCAATGAAATCATTGCCGTCTCCAGAGTTGAAGAGTATGAAGCCATCTGGTGAAGTGGTCTTGAACTGAAAGAAGAGGTGCATGGACGTGTAGGCCTGTAACGTGGCCAGGCTGAGATAGCTGCTCTTGGATTTGAAGGTGACAGGGTCAGCGATAATGGAGCGAATCCCAAAGCGGGCATTGAGCTCACAGTAATCAATGTCACCATTCTTGCATAAGTCAATGTATAGCATGCCGTTAAATCTGAGAAAAAGAAAAGAACATGTAGGCAAAAATAAGGAAACATTTTTAGAAATCTACAGAATATTCATCTTAGAAGTAGAAATACCTTAGGCTCTGGAGGTGACCAATAAAGCTGGATGGGATGCTAGAAACAAATCGGCGCTCTGTCATTATGCCTGTTTCGATGTTATGGAACTCCAGACGAGTGTGGTCACCCACCATTTGGCCTGGAGACGGGGAGGGTGGAGGGGAAGGGTTGAAAGAAAGACAAAAAACGAAAAGAAAAGAGAACACCGTCTGACACTAACACAAAAGGGCTGATTTAAGGAGAAAATTACATTACACAGTATTAGATGAATGCAAACTGACACTAATGGGTACATGTGTACTTGCTTTTTTGGAGCAGAATTACACACTGACTTTAGTGTTTATGGCGAGATGCTGTAGCATGGTGGAATAACACTGACAAAGACATACTAAGAATATTTCCAGTTGATGGAGGCAAGTACCTTCTGCTACATCATCGTCAACCGTTAGCTTGTAGGTTTTGCCACGACGCACCACACGCACTGTATGCCATTCATTATCATTGAGCTTTTGCCCAGCATACAGGGTCTCCGGTCCCTTGCCTGAGAACAATGGTCAGTCACAAAGTTAAGGACATCCTGAGAGCCTAAAACCAAACATTTGCTTCCCACCAGTGACAATAGGAACATTTACAGGTCTTCCACAACCTGGTTAGTAGTTTAAAAATGAGGGAAAAATTGGATTGAAATTAGATCCGATGGGAAACAAAGGTTTGATATAGTCATTCATTTATTTACACAGGGTAAATGATATGAGCACAGATGTTTGACATCTGTGCTCATATCATTTACCTGACTGCTAAGCAGTAGAAATAATTGCTTTTACTCATCATAGAGTTAAAGAAATCTTCCTGTCATTCCTTCCATGTTCTGCACTGCTTTTTTATCTTCATTTCTTAATCTCCTGCTCCAATAACAAAATGCTATTAACATGACCAGTGTTATATGTTTGTGTTTAGCAAACATTAGGGCTTTATATCAGTGGTGCCCAAGCCCCGGGCCACGGACCGGAGTCGTTTGGTACCGGGCTGCCAGAGTCGAGGCTCAGGTGTGAAATTCATGCTTTTCAGGGTTTTTATCGTTTTTTATCGTTTTCAGTGTTAACAGGGTTTTTTCCCGTGTGAAACAATTTTCTTTTTTTTTTTTTGGTACCAGTAGTGGTTTTATTTTGTTGTATTTATACGCAAAACCTTAAAGGCCGGTCCGTGAAAATATTGTCGGGCATAAACCGGTCCCTGGCACAAAAAAGGATGGGGACGGCTGCTTTATATTATTGGAAACCATTTCTTCAGCCACACCTGATCTCAGGGCAGGAGGAGAACTATTCTTTCCTTTTAGAAAAGTATGAAACTACTTCAGGTTAGAAAACAGTCATGAGATTTAAAAGAAATTAGCACTGATGTGGAATACAGGTTGGTCATACAGTTTTATTCATTTATCTTTAAATTAATTTAAGCATTTTCTTCTTTACATTTACATCATTTACATCAGCGATGCCACACATGGAAATGCAGAGGAAAGTGGGGCAGTGAGTAAATTGATGCACCACCTGTATTTTAGCAATCACAGGCAGATTTTATAAAAAGATGTGTTGCATCATAACAATCCAAAACTAAAATTAATATTTTGTATGCATGTGAGACATGGTGGCATTTATGTCACCAGCATATGTCAAAGTCTGTAATTGTAGAACTATTTGCAGTATTTTGTGGCAGTCGAGGCGGTGCACTGAAATGTAAAAAAGAAAATTAAAGAAAAGTTTAACTTAGTTTGAGTCTTCAGTCTTAATCTTTCACAACCGTAGACGAGAAACGTAATTATATTTTTCCATGGTTGCTGGACCAACCTATCCTTTGCTCAAGCAGCTCCAAGAATTTGGTGGACCTCATATATTTAATTGTTTATTTGAGTGACTGGAAGTGGATAGCCAACACAATGTGTTAAATGCATGGTGCTACAACTTTTGGTATCGATCCAATACCAAGTAAATACACAAGTAATACAGATGCCAACACTGTGAACCTATAAAGACAGATTATGTAGGCAAGTTGGCGAGAAGTTGATGAGATTGATCATCATCGATTTTCAAGAAGCTGTCTGAAACGTAGGAAACAATTTTAAAAGTTTTTCTCATTTATAATTATTCATATCAAAAAGCTCAAAGGATAATGCATATTCTCAATAACGTGTAATATTATCAATATTAATATTAGTTTTTAATATGTACATTCTTTGAGTATTTAAATTAAAATCTAAATTGGGTTAAATCATTTTGATTACAACTTTAAGCTGATCGAATCTCCATTACCCCATTATGAGTAAAAGCAATCGTAGTGATCTTGGCAATCACTGTAAAACAGCAACAGACACACTATAAGTAGAAAGAGCTTAATGATTCATCACAGCTAGCCTGAAAAATGCTTAGAAAGTTCCCTAACATGACAAACTATCCTGCGAACTAGTTTCCTCTGAAAAACACGCTTTCTTCAATAAATAGTCAAATATTACATTTAATTAAAAGACTGTTTGATTTTTCAGTCTTTTGAATCTGGGTTTGTGTTAGGAGTGTAAAGTACACCTGTTGTCAGTCAGTACTCAGCTAGTTGTCATTAGCATGCATATTACTTACGGAAACACAAATTTCAGTTTAAAAAACTGTCTCATTGTACAGAAAAAGTAATGGACTGAAATGTCCACCTGATGAAGCAACATGTGAATTTTGCCTTGGATTTATATTTCTCTATTAGTGTGCTTTGAAAAATAAGGAGTGATAGCTCCTAGTTCTACATGGGTTTTATCATAGCATTATTATGGATATTATCAATGTTTTAATAAACACTCAAATTCAAAATGATTCACAAAATTCAATTTTTATGGTTACATCGTTTGCCAAGTTTTCCCCTGAAATAAGGCTTTAATATTTGGTGTTTATAAATTCCTCACATAAAATCAAAGGTAGTTCATGAGCACTCATGTGCTGGGCATGAACGCTTACACACCTAATTACTTTAGTTGAAATCTGAGTGCTTTCAGTCGTGTTCCACTGAAGACAGAGGCTTGTATGATTTAGTCAAGTTCATCATTTTGGCGCTAACCAATAATGACAGATTAATAATAATCGTTTAATAATAACTTACCTTGTTCAGTGTCATTTACCTACATCAGTGTTAACTTCAGGCTATTACTGCACTCTTTAGAGAACAATATGTACTAACTTACAGCTAAAGCACAAGCTCTACACCAGCAATTTCTATTGGTTTGCTACCACAGAACATAACAGTTACTCATCCTTTTCATACATTCTTACCAAATTTCATATTTATCTTCATCTAATTTTAATTTCCATCTTGTGAGGTAACACCAAAAGGTTGTTCATCTACCGTACCAGTGTCTCCATTACTGAAGCAATATGGTGCCATAGCGCCAAACTGGACGACAAATGTCAGTAGTACTCTGCTAGCATTGGCTCTCAATTATTATTTCCCACTCTGTACCAAAGAATGTGGCAAATATAGTGAAATATACTGTATTTACTGTATATTCACGTTTTTTCTCCTAAGGAAGGTAAGAGTAATTTAATCTCATAAATCCTTCTTTAAATATTGGTTATGTAGAGTATAGAGGAAACAGAAGACTGATTTTATCTGTGATCCTCTGGCATATATAAAATGAGGAATTGTGTCATCACCATTTAATTTCACTGAGTCTGTTTCTACTGCTCTATGTTGCTCAAACTCACCCTTCAAATAAGAAGATGTTGGATTTTGAAAAATTACATTTCTTTCTTCTTTAAAAAATAAAAAACATCGATATCATTAACAAACAAAACAAAATGAAACTTGAGTGTTAACTTACTGGAGTTACAGTTTATCCTGATACAGTCTAGATGGGGAAGAATAAATGACAGATGAAATTGCATCCTTCAAGGTTACTGCTGCAGACATCCAAAAACAAAAAATCCACCCTTCCGGGGACGTACACATGCAGTAAGGCAGCCATTTCATCCCATTGGTCTATCTTTAGAATGATCTCTAAGTCAAACAATCATGTAATAAATATAACATGTCATTACTCAATACATTAATTTCTGCTCTTTTGTTAATCAACAGTGCTGTAATTAATAATTGTTTAAGTGCTATATTTACATAAAAATGGCCACTTGTAATACCAGCTACATGGGTTTTCTGACCCAACACTATTTGACTTTGCATTTAAATCAAAGCCTCCGCACCAGTAAAATTGCCTCAGTTACTTAATAAAAACAAACAATAATTATAAATGGATCTGATACTCAAAGAGATTTTTTTTTAAAATAAACGTTTGTAACTGAGAAAAAGCAAGTTCATTATCTGAACTAAGGCCAGAATACCTGCCGCACACTGCGACAGCGAGGGTTGGTCACCATGTGGCTGGTGGTTTCATGTGTCGTCAACCGCAACAGAAAAGTGGGAGCAAACAGCCACGATCCAGTCAGCACCAGCACCGTGCAGAAGCACAGGAACCCCAATCATCAAAACTCCTGCTATACTGTTCCTGCATGTCGCTACGCTCCATCAAAGGGTCAGGCTACTAACGTTAACACTTAGTACAAAACTGCATGGATTAATATGGGATAGAAAATCATATAAAGTACTGACCAATTGGCGCTTCATTTTTGAAAGTAAAAAACAAGAGTATGCCTCATAAAATTCATCTAAATGGTATACAGCTTCCACCGTTAATCAAACAAGACAAACTGTATGTACGATATAGAACAGACAAAATGCAGTTTGTGACTCGTGTGTCTTTGCCATTTCTTCTTCTTTTCTTTTCTTTTTAACATTGGGGTTGCAGCTAGCTGTAGGTTTTGCTGGGCTCTGTTCTCGGGCTGTTCGCCTGACGGGCCGCAGGCTTAAGGCCTTTGAAGGTGTGAATACCATCTTTTGACAAAGCATGATGGGAAATGGAGTTGATGGGAAAACAAGCAAAAGGAAGACGCTGAAAACCCACAAAATTTAATAACAAAAAGAAACTATCATGAGCAACAAAAAACAAAAAGACACCCAGAACAACAGCAGGGTGACACAGAAATTACCTGATGTCAGACACAAAAATGAAGGTCGTAGAAAGAAAACTTGTTCCTTTTATATCCTATCCTGCTGAATGATGGATCAGTGGTTATTCTTACTACAAATTACATCTGAGAAAATCTCAGCACAGTCTGTTCTTTAAAAAAATAGATAAAATAAAAACAACAAACTGAAACCAGATATAGAACCTGTTTATGATGTGTATTCTACTTATTTTGCTTTTACTGTCTCAAAGGTTCTATAAACAAAAGTGAGTACACGTTTCTGGTTCAAAGGTTTCCAAACATATTTAATAGTGAAGTAAAATGTATGTATTTTTAAATGTTTCCAGTAATTGCTGTCTGGTGATTTATGCACACATTAACAGCCATGCAAAAGAGAACTGATTGCTGTTCTAAAGATGGTTGAAATCTTTGAGGGATCACTGTGATGAGTAACCAATGAAAAGACGGAAAAAAAGAGAATAGAAAAGGAGAAGTTACCGCTCGACGGTAAACCATCTCACAGTGAAGGTGGAGGTGTAGTGGCAGATGGCTGGGTGGGGCATACGATACCTAGATTGACCGTGAGTTTGACGCGACTCCCGTCCAACTCCAGCCGTAGCGTGTCGGCTGAGTCTCGGGAGGTAGTGGCCATGAGGAGACCATAAGCCCGCTGGGAGCGAAACCGCAAAGACACATCCTCAGCTTCAGTATGCATGATGGTCGGCATCACAACCTTCATATACATGCTGCCATCATAGGAGAGGATTGAAGCCTCTGAAAGAGAAAGTCAGGAACAAAAGTAAAGTACATTTATGTGGTTTTTTTTCTCTTACTATTGTTCTCCCACAGAAAGGAATTATGATGTAGGGACTGCAAAGTCCTCGCCATCACACTGGTCCTACAAGAGAAAGGCACTGGCTGGAAGGAGCATGCCTTTGTAGTACAGACAGATCCCAAAACCTTGCATATCCCCGGACTGCAAAGTATTACAATGCTCATCAGGCCAGGTGGATATGATCCACCTCTACCAGATTTAACCTCAACATTAGCTATCCAAGGTCCTGTCACATCAAACCTGATGTGCTATCCCAGAAACTCTCCACCTCCTAGTCCTCCACAGAACAAGAAACCACCCTTTCACTGGACTGCATCATTGGTTCCCTGAGTTGGGAGATTGAGTCCCTGGTCTGGGATGCTCAGCTGGATAAGCAGCTCTTGTTAACATATTTGAATATACAATTTCCACAATCATTTCAGATCCTATACTTGGGTCATCTTAAAGGAAATGTGGTTCCAAAGGACGAATACCTGTTTAAGATTCTCCTGGTAGCGGCAAAGAAAACTAACTAAAAACTAGCTAAGTAGGAAACAGCTATAGAGAATAGGTAACTGTGGTTGAGGAGATCCTGGTTATTGACAAATTCACATACAGACTGGAAATAAAATAAAAATACTTTCTAAAAGACTGGATCAAATGGTTGGCATGCAAAGTGAAGGAAGGCCATAGGTAATTAAAATTATATATACATTACTGATGAGTGAGAGAGAGCTGCCTAATGTAGTGGGGGGATTCAGTGTTGACCAGCCGCTTGAAGATTTATACCAGACAGATAGAGACCACCAGTATACACCAGCTGTACTCCACCAAATCGTCCAAGGCGTATTCTCAGTGGCAGGGGACCAATATGAGAACAATCCCACCAAGGCTGGAGACGGAACAATACTGGAAGACCATATGGGACAAATGCAACCCATGACAACCATGCTTGTGGAGCTAAGAGCACACAAGGTCCAGCAACTATCACATTGGTAGACATGTCCAGAGCTGGACTGCACCAGGCCCTGACATGATTCACACCTACTGGCTAAAGAAGCTAATTCCACTCCATGAGCATCTAGCAGCACAAATAAACCAGCTCCTAATGGACGAGACACACCTGAAATGGCTAACCAAAGGCTAACTGAAGGCTAACCGATGCATCCCCAGAAGGGAATGGTCCCATTGACCTATCGGCCAGTAACCTGCCTCAGTACCATATGGAAGCTCCTGTCAGGCATCATAGAGGCTAAGACGAACAGGCACATGGTTCAATTCATTCATTCATTCAATACACTAGAGGGGCAAAACACAGCTACTGGCAGATATACTGGTGACTCAAAACTGTGAGACCAGACTGACCAACCTGTGCACCACCTGGATTGACTACAACAAAGTTCTAGGAATACCAGTAACTTTACAAGAAATGAGGAATTTGATGGGGATGTGTTGAGAAGCCAGCTCCAAACCAATAACACAAGTCACCATCAACTGCAGGACGCAAAAGGAGATACTCTGTCCCCACTGCTGTCTTGCACAGGCCTGAACTCCCTCAGTGAGATCATTAACAAGACTGGATATGGACACCAATTATGGAATGGAGCAATAGTTGGCCACCTCCTCTTCATGGATGATATCAAGCTGTAGGCCACAGTTGTTTATCAAAGTCCAGTGTTGTACTTTATGGTTTGCCTCTACTTATAGATAACAGATATATCCTTTTTACAAAAATCAACTGAAATATCTAACATTTTGTGTACATGCATTCCCTTTGATTGCTTTATTAGTAATATTACTGAATATTTTTAGTAATTTGTCACTGCACAGTCAGATTACATTTAACTTCAGAGTCAAAGTGTTTGAAACAACCAAATAGAAAAACTGTAAAGCTAAAAAAAAAGAATTTAAATTGCCTAGTTTCACACAACTCTAAACCTAATCTAAATGGGCCACCAGTGATATTATTCTTTATTTCTCTACCTAAAGAAAAATCCATTTCATTGAGCTCACTTTACACTCTTGCTTTCTGTAGTCAAACCTCTCTTTCCTAAACCCTCTAGGGCTGATTGCCATTTTCTTGCATTCTCATTGCATCAATCAGATTACGGTGATTATTTGTCCTGTCACAGTAGCTTAATTTGATAAATGATCTGATAATATGCTGAAGCATTTCATGTCCTCTAAATGCCCTTTGTTCAGTTTATCTGCGTGACTGGGACGCTGTAGTTCTATCACATGGCCACAAGGTGGAGACACAGTCCATCTATCTGTTGGAAAGTCCTGTAGGTAAATTAGGGTGGGTGTGGCTCACTGAGAAACAAATGTGTAAATTAAAATATGGATAATGATTGGATAAAGCTAAGCTGAGGAAAAGTAAAGCTTGAGTAGGTAAAAGGCATGTGCGTCCACACTGATGGAGTCTGAATAAATCTGCATATCACTTACTAAGATCTGATTAAATCAATTTCTTTCTCATCTCCAATAGTCTCATGCACCACCTTACTTTTTGCAGATAGGTCAGGGTAACCAAGTGAAATAACAGCTACATTCCCCCATATGCTTATTTTATGTTTATGTTAGAATGTTGAGTCTCTAAAGCTTAAAACATTTCCTGTGTTGTTCCACATAAAGTTCAATTTAAGTTTATTTCTATGGCACCAAATCAGAACAAAAGTTGCCTCAAGGCGCTTTAAAGTGTACAGTAAAGCCCTACAATAATACAAAGAAAACAGAGAAAATCCCAACAATCACATGACCCCCTGTGAGCAAGCACAGTGGCGAGAGTGGGAAGAAAAAATATGCATAATAAAGGAGTGATAGACATACTAGTGCAGACCCAGAAGAAGAACTGAAATCATCCTCTTTTCCTTTTTCTTTTTGACACTGGACTCTAGATGAGTTGCTTTACATTATTCACAGTTTTAAAAATGTCTTGCCGAGCACACTCACAAGTTCATCAATTATGTGAAATGAGTTGTTTTAACTCGTGCCTTCTCTGAAGCCAGGTTTCTTCTGCTATGCTAGCCCACATTTATACATTTTATTGCCGCAAGTATTTGCTCGTCAACCTTCACGTGAACTTGAGTGACATCCTTAATTCATAGGGTTACATATGAGGTCAACCAACGCTTTGCAGATATAACAGCTTGAACTCTTCTGGGAAGGCTTTCCACGAGGTTTAGGAGTGTGTTTATAGGTTCCTCTTTCAGAAGCACATTTGTAAGGTCAGACAATGATGCTGGATTAATTCCAGCATCATATTTTTTGTTCCTAGGTTTTGTCCTATCTTCTTAGTTTCTGTGTTCTTTATCCAGTTCTTACAATCTGAGTTCTTATTATGATTTCTTTCTTGGTCCTTGTGTAGTTTCCAGTAGTTCCTAGTTTTTCTCTCTTGTATGTTTATCGCTCACTTTGCGCTGAAAGAGGAAACCAGCGGATGTCGCGCTAAACAACAGCAGCACGTTTAAGCTTGATCAGCTGTTGTTAGAATTTATTTAATATTAATTTCTAGTATCAGCTGATGTTTGCTGGAGCCACAGCTGTAAAGCTGCTGGTCATGATATGGTTTGGTTATCTGGTGAGAGGGAAACATGAAGATGAAACCAGGAGATGTCCTTACTGGATCATCAGAGCTGTGATGGAGAAACAGGTTTACCTTTTAGGTGACATGGATGAGTTGAAGTTATGAACTGTTTCTGAGAGACAAATAACACCAGGATCCTTTTTTAGTAGCTGACAGCTGGTAACTGTGCAGGGGCGGGTCTAGCAAAGTGTTGCCAGGGGGGCAGGTAGGGCATTAACAGGGAGAGGGGGGCACAAAGAAATACTTTCTTATTCTCATTTAAAATGTCTCGCTTTTATTAAATAATTATCTGAATCTTACAACCAAAGTTTTTATCTGATGTAAAATGTATAGAAATCATACATATACCAACAAGACTGTACATCACTGTCACAACAGCGTTTGTTTTCATTCAAAGGCTTTATGGCTTTAATACCTGGGGGGCCGGTCTGTAGTCAAAATGCCCGATTTTCTGTCCCAGTCCAGCCCTGCAGGTTAATACTGGCAGTGTCACCATGCCAGCTGACTGTATTTCATCATCAGCCAGTGTTGTTCTTTATCAATATTACCAAAGTTTACCATAAGGCAGCATAGAAAGTATTTACTTGCTTTCAGGTTTTATTCAAATGTTAGTCTTTTCAGTTGTTTCCCCACTTTTTTCCTGTTTCAAAATCAAACACCAGTTTGTGAGAAGATTATCTTCTTTTTTTATTAGGCAGATAAAGTTTTACATTGGCTAATTTGTCAAATTGTTTGTTAAAGATGTTCGTATTTTAATATTCAAAAATGTTTTTGCCCAAAACATATGTGCACTACATGTCAGTAAAATTACTATGAAAATATTGCTGTCCTTGAATGCTGAGTAAACACTGACAAAGCACAGATTGTGTCTCTTGTACTTTATCAACGCAGTATCTAAAAACTTTGCACCGTAGTGGTTAAAATCTCATTCTAATAAGAGTTAAAAGCGCATTCGGTTATTAGGTTTATAGGGTTATTGAATTATGGTTAACGGTTGGTAGATTTTTTTTAACATTATCTGCCAATTACATCTGCCACCCTTCTGTGTCCCTACCTGGCCCCCCAACAAAAAATTTCAAGACATGCCACTGGTGAGGTGAGGGCAAGCAGATGGGAGGTGTGAATGGTCGTCTTTCAAATCTGCAGTAAAAAGTGCTTAGGTCATCACCCAGGGTCATTTGTTGAAAAGCAGTTTTTTAGCTCTTCGCTGTAGCTCCTTTCTCCTACCCTGATCTTCTTGCTCTGTTTGTTTCTGGCCTGCCTGTTCAGGGCCCAGTCCTCGCTGCTCGCTGCTGTAGGCCTTCTCCTTAGTTTCATTTTACTTTCTAGTTCTTAGGTTCTTGTTCGTTTTGGTTTGTTTCCTTTTGTGGGTCCCTGTTAGTTTGACATATCTATCATGTATGTTAAGTTCTGTCTCCCAGTCGTGTCTCTCCCTCTGTCACTTAGTGTGTGTCTCATGTTTCCTGTTTAGGTTTGTTTTAGGCTTTTAGGCTTTTGTTTCCGTTGTATGTTTCTTTCACAGCAATAAAGCTGCCTCTTTGAGTTTATCCTGTTGTGTTTTGACTCCTGTGTTTGAGTTCTTATCCTGTCTGCCACACAGCACCCCGATGACACTAGGAATACCACTAATGGTTTTAAATGTCTTTTATGTACAGACGATGGGGACTCACTGAGACTTCAATGCTGCAGAAAGTTTTCTGTACACTTTCCAAGATCTCTGCCCTTCTCAGATGTTTACACACAATTCCTTGGGCTTCATGGCTTGGTTTGTTGCAACTATGCAGCTATGGGGCCTTATAGACAGGTGTGAAATTTTCATAATCATGTCCATTCAACTGAATTTTCCACAGATGGACTCCAATCGAGTTTTAAAAACATGTGACAGATGATCAGTGATCAGGATGAACCTGAGTTCAACTTTGAGTTTTGTGGCAAAGGTGGCAAGCTTTGGGAGAGCCATGCCCAACTTATGTTAAAGATGTCACGGTACCATATCACCCCAATAGAGTAGGTTGCTCTCAGACTTCTGGCTAACTGGTGGTTCCTGTGAGATTTAAAAGTAAAATGGGATGAAGAGCTTTAAGCTTTGAGGCCCCTCTTCTATAGAACCAGCTTCTAGTTTGTATTTGTGAGACAGACACCCTCTTTGCTTTCAACATTAGGCTTAATACTTCCGTTTTTGATGAAGCATATAAAATGATCTTTTGATTTGGTGTTATATAAATAAAACGAGCTGAAGAGCTGAAAAACTTTGTGTATGTTATATTTGAGTGGCCCTTGAAAATATCTAGAAAAGTATTTAATATATGAAGCTAAAATTTCACAGCAATCATCATTTGAATCATAACTCAGTGCATATACACTCCACACTGATGTCCTGCAAGCACTTCTATAACTAAAGATATAATCAGAACACTGTTCACTGATATGCTAAAAATCAGTTCAAGCTAGCAGTTTGGCTAGGGATGTGGAAATTAGTTTTCATCTCCAATTAGTCTTTATTAACCTGTCTGAACACCATGATGGAAACTGGTCAGAAGGGCAATAGTTTTAATATTGTCTGAATAAAAGTTGAATATTGTTAATTGCTTTTTCTGTCACACACAAAAAGAAGCAAGACAAGAGATAAGGAGAAGGGGAAAGCCCCAAGTTAGTTGAACACCCTGCATCAAATGGTAACTAATTCGGTTTAAATAATTAAACATACAGTAATTATGGATATTAAAGGTTCCTCTGTGAATTCAGTGAGCATGTTGTTCTTTTATGCTAGGCTCAAAGCTACTAAATGCAGGAATCCTGCTAATGCTGCAAATATCTTTGAGCTATATTCAGTTTAGATGTAACAAAGTTCATCTGACTGTTGTCCTCTTTACGGGTAAAATCAACAACATTTTTGTTGATGGTATATCAATAAGGCTAATTCTGCTGGAAATATTAAAATAAATCTCTCTTGTTTGCTCTTTCTGGTTTTATGTGATCTACTCTACATTGAATGTCAGTTTATTTTCTCATCTATTTAATATAAGATACTAAAACATGTGTCATACAGTACAGATGAGACAAAAGATGGAAATACTCAAGTCAAACTCAGCTGGACTCAGTCCTGCTTATGTTGTTGAAAGTGAAGCTATGCCTTGGTTCAGGTCCAGCCTAGTAAGACATCTATTAACGTAACTGGTTTATCAAATGGAATGGTGTGAATCTACCAATCTACCAGCTTGCAAATCTTGCAATCAGAACTTCCTTTATAGCTGTCACAACGATTGTCCTGCTCTAGCTAGCTCCATCTGTTCAGATCGCAGTGTTACAGATAGTATGAGTATGTAAGGCTTTTGGAAGAGGACTGAACGTGTGCACATCTAAACATCCACACTTACCTCTCTCACAGGTGCGTGACCAGTAGCCAGTACCAGTGCAGTCACAGATGAATCGATTCCAGCCTTCTTTGCAGACTCCTCGGTTCTTGCATGGGTAGCTCTCGCACTGCTTGCCAGGTTGTTTATTGCATGATGGTTTAATGCCAGCCCCATTTTGTGCCTCAGCAATCTGACGGATGTCCTTGCTTCGACCATCAATGAAAAGGTCACGAATACAGCCCACATAGCCATAGTTGAGCATTGCTGTCCAGAGCTCCGTGGGCAGGATGAGGTTGGTGCGGTCAGTTGGAAGCCCCCCCAAATACATGTCACCCTCCAGGTCCAGAATCTCACTCTCACCACTGGCTGTGAACGGAGTCCTTCTGCTGTTTACAGAGATGGTGCCTGAAGAGAAATTTGCAAATTTCATCATAGTGCTCCTACTCTTTGATCTTATGAGATGTGCCACCAATTTTTATTGATTTTGCCTTTCATTATAAAGGTTCCCTCACTGACATACTACTGGAGTAACAAATTCTTTCCGATTCTGATATTTGAATTTTACATTACTTCAAAAAAGATTTTTTGTATTTGTAGTCCAGTAGACTGTATACCCCATACATCTAGCCTCACTGACCTGAGCGTCCATCCCTCTGGATGTCGACATGATACCAGACCCCATCATTCACCTTTGTCTGGGTGGCCTTAACCTTGATAGTCCCAGAGCCCATATCCAGCAGCAGGTACAGGCTGCCATCCAACAGCTCCACAGCAAAGAAATCCACCTGAGCAAGAGAAAAAGAAGCTCCTTATCTGAAAAAATTAAGACAGTTACTTTTTTCTTTGGGTGCTTCTTTTTCATTTTCCTAAAATCTAAAATCTGTGTGTCAAATAATCTGACAAATACACAAAACACTCAGTTTTGGTACACTCAGGTAAGCACGGATAAAACATGAAGCAACTTCCCAAGTTTGACCTATAATTAAACCATAATTCAGTTTGTGATACCAAGAAGCAACGTTACGTCAGATTTCCTACAGTAGTTTTTCTTTCTTACCCTGTTGCAGTCAGTACAATGTGGCATCACTGTTTAGTGGGGTCAGTACATTTGAAACCACACTCTACCACACCCAGGTTATGTTTAGTGACAGGTGAAATTAACTTAAAACTTCCAAGCAGAAAATTGAAGCTAAGGTTAATCATGGAGTTACACAATGTTCCACGCTAAGGCCAATTCTGTGTCCTGTCATCCTGTCCTTAAAAACGCCTTGAAAGGCCTTCAGTTGATCCAAAATGATGCAGCAAGAGTCCTGATATATTGACATCTTCCTTTGGAAACAAAGCATCCCTCTTGACTTGTCTAAAGTATCCTGAAAATTTAGTTGGGTATTTGGTATACCTAGTGCAAATGTTTGAACCCAACTTATCTAAACCACTTGGAGCATCTATCAGCGCACACATTGTAGTCTCAAAGTTGGTTATACTGGAGCATGAGATATTATGCCTCTAAGTATGAGTATATTCTGAGTTTATGTCAAAAAAGTGATACCAAACGCTTCTGTAGACGCTCATATTTGAAACTAGCATGTAGTTGCTCTGTCAGTACTAATTATGTTAGCAGGTCAAAGGGAAATTCCATTATATGTTAGCATTATGCTAGCGGGATGAACGCTAAATCTGTTTTCACTTATTTCTCTTGGTTATACCAGCTGTAATTTCAGTTACTAGCGTCAGTCTATACTGTGTAAGATGAGAAATATATTATGTTCGAAATATATGTTGTAATATACTTTTTTGTTATGTTTGTAGTCTTACAGCACCTTCATTAGGGAGACAAATAAACCCTGCAATGTCAACTGGAAACTTTTGCCTCTCCTTTTGAAGAACTCTTTATCTATCTGTCAAACTGGGCATCGACGTACAGGAAGGGCAGAATAGTAAAACGCTTCATTCTCATGAATCGTAGTGAGTTCTGTAAAAGAAAAGATGGACGAAACACTGGAAATGTCCAGTTCTTTATGCTCCAGCCAGCTTACATCATCATCTACTGCTGTCGACAGAGCATGAGCAAAAGCATAAAGCAGCTGCAGCAGCATTAGCTGAGGCTCAAGCTTGGGAAGCGTCTGCGCTGAGCATCCAACAGCCCTGCCACACCTTTGCCAGTCTTCTGTGCTTTGAGCCCAAAGAAAGAGTCTTGCAACTGGAGTTATGGAGGACAGCCAGCAAATAATGATCAATTTCACCATTCTCAGTCCAAGGTATGGACACCCACACCTGTAAGTGGTAGTCATTCAATTCAATTCAAAATGTATTTGTATAGCACATTTAAAAACAACAGAGTTAACCAAAGTGCTTCACAATCATTTAAGAACAAGAGACTGGATGTAACGTCACAAGAAGAGCTAGATCTGCTTTCCAGAGTGTGGAATCCCAAAATCCCAGAAATTGATCCAGGGGCCAATTTCCTCCTTCTCATTGGCAGAGACATTCTGCATGCGTACAAAGTCAGAGAACAGCATAATGGTGTCCATAATGAGCCACATCATCAGCGACTCAACCTTGGTTGGGTGATCGTGGGAGAAGTGTGTCTGGGAGAGGTGCACAAGGCAGCCAACACTAGTGTATGCAAAACCAACATTCTACCAAATGGATGAGCTTCACTCTTGAGTGCATGTCCAAACAATATGCAAGTCAAAGGTTTTCACACCTCAGACCTAAGTCTTCAAAGCTCTGCACAACACCTGGAAAGTAAGAGAAGCGATCTTGGCAATCAGGTCTCCAAAAGTTGATTCTGTTCACCTGGACGTAGCGTTTTCAGTGGGAGAAACGTTTCATCACTCATCCAGGTGACTTCTTCAGTCTCAGCTGACTGCAGGTTTCCCCAAATCTTATAAACAGTACATTTGCATTATGACTGAAACCAGCCCACTGAAGGAACAATGGGCTGGGAGGTCACTTCCATCATCATGATTATACAAATTCTCATGACCATTGATCAACAACCACTGATCAAAGATCAATGGCCATGAGTCCCAATCACAGAGAGTTGGGGAATGGCTGCAATCACAGCATTGTAAGATGGTGACAGATGTATCGTTAGGTCCCTCCTCGATTCAGAGATGGTCTTTCCCTTTTCATGTAAATGGCCTCCTTGACTCCGCCCTCAAACCAGCGTTCCTCCCTGTCCAGGATGTTACATCCTCATCATTGAAAGAGTGTCCACTGGCCTGTAGGTGTATATAGACTGCAGAGTCCTGGCCTGACGAGGTGGCCCTTCTGTGTTGTGCCATCCTCTTAGCCAGAGGTTGTTTGGTTTCCCTGATGTATAAATCCTGGCACTCCTCCTGGCACTTAACAACTATGTTACTCTGTTTGTGTCGGGGGACCCGATCCTTGGTGTGGACCAGTTTTTGGCGCAGTGTGTTTTGGGGTTTAAAAGCCACAGAGACC